AATATTATTCCTCCGGTATGAATAGCTTTCAATTTCGCTCCCTGCACTTGTATTTGTTTCATAATGCAGGACCGAATGTATTGATGTACTCTTTCAGATACAAAGTGTGGTTCTTTGCTTACGAGACTCGTTGCGCAGTATACTACTGTGGTTGCTTGGTCACTCATCGTCAGCGCATTTCGCTAAAGCTGTGGAGATTTTCTGCCTCCATTTTGGACCCTTCATTGGGCGATGCATTCGATTCCTGTTCCCGTTTTCAGCTATCACAAGGCTATTTGGGACGTCCATTAGCCCTCAGATTTATGTGAGTTTATGAAGGCGTCTATAGACATTCGAATTTTCGATGCTTACATGTTGTTACTCCTCAAGAATGCCGAGTAGCCCTATAATGTAGCATTTTCAGGAGTCGTTCACTGAGATCGACATGCCAGCCCTAATCGCTTCGTGCGATGGTGGTGAACGAATTGAGGAAATCCTTCAGAATCTGTCGGCTCGAGAGAAGTTCTTGACTCTTGGAGAAGTTCTCGTTTCTCAGCAAGAACAGATGACTGCTCCACAAGCAGATGCTTCTGCTGCAGCAGATGAGCCTGGCCAGCAAGAGGTCAAAGCTTACGAATTTTCGGACACCTCCATGTGCACTCCTCCACAGCATGAATCAAGCAGCATTCATTTCGACATAGGTGATGATCCAGAAGAAGCTGTGTTAGAAAAATCAGATTCAATTTCTGCAAGCAAATCAGTTGATGTTGAAACTGCAACCAGTCGTTCCCAGCCTGACTCAGAAGAAAAGTCGGAGTCAGTTCCTGTGAGCGATTTAGATGTTAGGACTGCAACTAGCCATGCTCATCCGGATATGGACACAGTGGACACTCAGTTATCAATAGCAACCGACGATGATCTCCCGGCACTGGTGGACACGGCTCCCAGTCCTTTTTACAGTGAAACGGAGTTAGTATCTACACAGGAGGCTGATCTGCAGAGCGACAAACAAGTTTTCGAAAGAAGTGAGCATGCCAAAAAAGACTAAATTAGTTGTTCTAGTAACTTGAAGTTGTTTTTATTTATTGAATCGGGTATATATGTGGTTTTGGACTAGATGATAACATGGTGGTACGCTGTATGTGATACATATAATACTATCAGAGTAATGATTTTGTCGCTTTTTAACTTGTTAAATAAATTTATTGCAACTTAGGAGTGGAATTATCAACCAGGCATCGGAGGGGAAGCCATGCAGGTTCTGACCGGTCGTTTAGAGGTTTTCGGGGAGGAGTTCCCCTGTTGGGCTCATGGAAGGATGCAGTTGAAAAATTCTTTGGGGAACAGCAAGGAATGGAGGAATCATTGTGGTTGTGACTGAAGCAGACATTTCATTGTGTTCCACACAGAGCTGGTTTCTAAGGTAAACTTGTCAGGATT